GGGATTACAGGCATGAGCCACCGTGCCCGGCCATGTCCTTATTCTTGTACACGTTTTACAAATGAATATATTTAACTTTTTATTGGGAATATAGGTAGAAATGGAATTTCTTCATCGCAGGAAATGTGCATGTTCAGCTTTAGTAAATATTGCCAAATGTTTTTTGAAATTATACCAATGGACATTCCTCCAGCCGAATATGTAAACTCCTGTTGCTCCATGTCCTTGTCAATATTTAGTGTAGTCTTTTTCACTTCAACCATTGTGATCATGGTATAGTTACAGATATGAATTTTCAGAAGGATAATGCAACATTTCAAGAGGTTGCAACAAAGGTTAAAGAGTGATCGAGAAGTTTGGAGAAGGAGAGATTACACACATTGTATGTTTGCAACAGGACAGCTAGGACTTGTAAGATAAGAATGGTGACTACACGTTATCCAGGACCACTCTGCATTTTAATAGTTGTTCTTATAAATTATGAAATGACAATAATTCAGTGTCTAGGCCACATCTTCTAGACTATCAACCAGCAAAACAGATGTCTTTTCTCACCCACCTTCCTTTCAGAAAGTACAGTCATAGGAGGTTGAGACAGTTTAGCCTGCGGAGATGAGGAAAGGGCATTCTGTGCAATGGGAACAGTTTAAGCATTGACACAAATCCGTGACCAGACACAGTGCCATCCATATTACTGTTAACAAGCAGAAGAGTGAGGAGGTGTCTGTGCTTTGGGGTGGATGAAACCTCCTAGCTTCCTGGAGCAGGTTATAAATCTCCTCTCAATTGCATGACAGCTTGCATTTAAACTAAATACAGGATGAGAATATCTTCTGTGTCAATAATTACCTTATCTTACAAAATATATTAATTCAGCAATCAATAATATTTCAAGCATATTTTAAAAGTGTTTATATACTCTTAGAGTAAGAGGGGAAAATCTCCGTAACCTATATTTATTGCTTCACAAGTCATCTTTAGGTGTATATTTGCTCAAGGGGAAAATGCCATTTCTTTGTTATCTTTTATCTTGTTGTGTGGGACTTCACTGGGTTGTTTATTTCAATAGTGTGAAAGACTGAAACCAAATTGGTTTGAAGGCTGATGTGAATATTGATTACATCTTAGAGCATTTCTTCTTTGGTCTGTTAGGAAATATGGGAAATGAGAAAATGTACCTTAAATTATCTAGCTAGGGGAATTAAAGCATCCCTGCCTGTCCCCTGAATACACTTTTATGTTATATATCAGCCATGTGCAGCTTCTCTGATAGGGCCTGGGGCTTATCAGCAGGGTGGGTACTGGTGGGGGGTGGGGGACAGCTGTAAATAGGCACTCCACTGATTCACTGCCACCTTGGTGCCCCAGAGAGCCTGCAGGGGCACATTAGTGTTGGCCACTTTCCCTGTGGATAAATAGCTTATTTCCTTAGGTGTGGGTGGCAGGCCCATCTCTGTCTGACTCCATACCTGGCTTCTCCTTTATGTCCCCTGGGCTGCCACTGTTCTCCCTGTGGCCATCCTTACTACTTGGACTGAGTGGCTGGTCACTTAGTCCAGCTCCAGAGAGCTGTCATGGCCTCTCACTGTCACTCCTGATGCGGACAGGGAGATTTTTAATGCAATTTTTCTTATGTTCCAAGAACTCAGAGATGCTAAAGAACTCTGCACAGTATCTCTCACAGGTCTCCATCTCCTCCTGATGAAGCCGTTTTACTATGTGGCTTTGTCCTCTTTTGCTTCACCATCATTCCCTTGGTGATCCATTGGAGCATCCTGGGCCTCCACCACTGGCACCATTCAGGCCACATCTGTGAACTTTGGATTCAGTTGCTGCTCACCCTGGTCCCGCTCCAAGTTGGCATGCTGCGGTTTCGCCTGCTTGCACCTCTACATGGTGTGAGCATGGGGCACTGGGAGAGCCACAGTTCTGGTTGATATGTTTTTAAAGCCTCCTTTAATCTGTAGATCCCCTCACTCATTCTTTGTACATTATTGTGGGAAGAAAAAGAAACCCAGGCTGTTTGTCCTGCAGAGTTTTTCATACAATAAGTTTTGCTCGCTGTATACTTGTGATGGGTTTAATATGTTCTGCTGTCCTTTGTACTTACTAAAAATTGGCTATTGGATCTAGAGGGCAGTATTTTTTTAAATACAGCGAACAAAAACAAAGCTATTTTTCACTTCTGTGGGAAGTCTATTAGATTAAGTTACTATTTCAAGTCCACCTAATTTTTTCCCTCTGGAAGTTCTGAAAAGAGGCTGGAGGTTGTGGAATAATGTTAATGTCATTAAGAATTCTACTCTACTTCTGGGACAGTACACATTTGACAATTTACTGTTCACTCCCAAGGGTATCCAATTCTAATGGGAACCTTTCCTCTTTTCCAAAGAAAAGGAAACTTTAGTTATGAAATGAGGTGGAAAAAAATCAGTGGTAATGCTAGCATTTGGGGTTGGAGCAGCACCAAGCTGTTGAACTTGTATCTTACTGTCTGGAATAAGATAGAAATGAGGGCAAACACACAGAGGATGTAGCTAGTAAGTAGGTTGTATTAGGGGTCAGGCAGGAGTAGTTAAGAGAGAAAAGGTAAGGTTCAGTGATTATTGTATCACACATATTATGTGCTCAATATTTGCTTTCATTCTTTTATTTAAAAAAAAAAATGCTTATGACAATGGATCAGATCCAGAACAGCAGCTGTGTGAGCCAAGTGATTAAGGACCCTGGACAGCTCATTAGCTTGACCAGCTCTGTGTTGTGTGCAATGTGCTCTATTTGAACTCAGTCAAACTCTAGCCCAGGGATACTGGAACTGTTCTTCAATGAAGACATTCATCATATGCAAGATCAGAGGCTCTGAGATGTGGGGTATGAGGGTGACTAATTTCAGGGAACACCTGAAGAACTTCCCTGAAGAGAATCATTAGGAAGAAGTAGAGGCTACTTCCTAGCAATATGGTCATTATCACTGACTTTATTCACAGAGGCTGAAATAAGCCTCAGCTGTACTGCAGGCTCTGATGGCTTCATCTCCCGAGCCCCTGATCAAGAGGCTTCCTGTATTATAGCTCTTGTGCATTGGCCTGTCTACATCTAACAGCTTGTAGCCTGACTTAGGACTAGGGCAAAATGACAAAGCTTCAATCTCTGGATAACCTTTCAGGACACCCACTCTACTTAGAAGAAGAATAAGGTTTACTGCATCATTTTTGTTTATCCTCTGATGCCAAGACCCCGTGCCTAACGGCACATTATCAGGCGTACCTGTTTAATACACTTGGACAACCACACTCATTTCATTCTACTCTAGGCACCTATGAGCATTTGCATTTGCTACTCAGCTCTAGAGAGCTCTAATATTGAACCAACCTCTCCCAGTTACAATGCTCTTAGTTCCTTTAGGAACAGATGAATTATATTAACTTTACAAGGGACAACTGGAATTACTAGAAAATATGTCTCTCAACCTGCCTTAGAACTTAACAGGAGGAGCTGTGTCCTCTGGAGTTTCAGTCAGCTAGTCCAAGTTCAGCGTGACCACATGCTTGTCAAATGGGAATCTCTCATTTTTCTCATTCTCTCAAGCTGAGGAAAGAAAGTGTATCTAATGCCTTGTAAAAGAAACAATAACTTCAAATTCAAATACAAATATTTGCTTTTGAATTAGTACCTATTCTGTCCCTCCCCCCTTCTCTGCCCCTCATTCTTCCTCCTCCTCTCCCCTTCCTCCTCCTCCTTCTCATACTTCTTTCTTTTCTCCCCCTCCCCCTCTTCCTCTCCCTCTTCCTCTGCTGCCTGGATACACAGAATAGTAGTTTCTGTATATGGAAAGCAGGTGACATCCCAAGCCACTCTCCTCTCCTACCATTACATTATCATGCAATATGTGGAACAGTATAGATACATCTATAACAACTAATGTTCTTTCCCCCAAAAAAGAGGGTTAGCTCATAAGTATTAGAAATTCAAAAAGGCAGTGGACTGTGTGCTCTTGTGAGGCTAGTAAATTTTTGGAAAGGATTATTCAATAGCAACTGCCTAATTAAATCTCTACGTTTTACAAACGAGAGAACAGGGTGAGGGGAGTTATAACCTTCTTAAGATCACATAGATTGTTTGTATAAAACTTTAGTTCCCTCTGCCTACCATTCTATATTGGATATAGCCCCCTAGAACATGACCTCCATAAAGGCAGGAACCATGTCTGTCTTACTAACTATGGTTCTCCAATGCTTACTATAGCTACAAATACCTTCTCAATTAAGAATAAACTATACTTAATGTTTCTCAAGCTGGAATACACATGTGATACAGAAAATCATGAGGGAAAAACAGGTGGTCTTGAAGATTAGTTTATGTCTTGTAACTAATAATTTAAATTTTTACTTTTAAATGAATTCATACCGTAAAATGAATGGTAAATTTGCATAAATGTTAAAAATAAAATATATATACATCAAAGCCATTATGTGTCTAAACAGAACTTTTTATCTTTACCATAGGGAGTGTAATGTTCCCAGATCTTCCCATGTTTATAGGTAAGGTAGAAATCCAGTTTTTAATCTGATGTCTGTCTTCTTTTAATGTTGAAAACTCAGGTTTATAAAAACTTGTGTGGAGCAAAAGAAATGAAAATCCTTGTTCCTGAACACCTGTTGTAACAGCCAGGGAAAAATATATGTTTGGACAGGAAGTAGGCACTGGACATGCCATCTGGGCTCTGGTTGCCATGGCAGCTGTAGTTCTGGCCCTAACTACTTCTCAGCTTCAAACTGACCAGAACTCAAAGGAGAAAGGGTGAAGGCAAGATATTCAATAGGTTAGGACAAGTTCCCACCTTAAACAGCTGTCTTTGTAGGCAGCCTCTAAATGAGGGCAAAATATTTAGATACTTTTAAAAAATCATAATCAAGTCACAAAAAGAGAAGCCAGAGAAAGGAAATTTGAGGAACATTTCACATCTATTCTGATGTACAAGAGGTTGCTGGTATGATTATGGAAAGAAATCTAAATTTAATTTTTCTACCTCATTGAGTAATGACACCATTCTTAAGAAAAATCAATGACAGATATTTATATAACTTTATATTACAGATATTTAGATTAAAGAATTCTAAATAACAATTAATGCATAAATGTATGAATGATTCTGGAAACTTAACAGCTTATCAACGGAATCATCCATTTAGTCTGAAGATAATTGGATAATTTTCCACCCTTAACAAAAGCAACACAAGATGAATACATTGTTATTGCACCTTTTGTTGCATAATTCTATGTGTGATATAAAAATATGAACTATATATTCTGTCTCTATTCTAAAGAATGGAAGATACACATGCTTCTAATAAATGATATATCTAGACATTGGACGTGAATTGAACTCAGGTTTCCTTGCCAAACCACCTGTGCTGAACAGCCCCTCCTTGCTTCTTCCTGTGTGTGATGGAGTCTCTCCCCAGGGGCCCTATCTCTTGTTGAGGTTTTTGTAGGGCTCCCACAGGCACCCATCTCATTGTGGCCTCACTCAGAGCACAGAAATACACTGCTGAGTCAATGACTTGTGAGGCTGTGATGGTGAGGTTGAAGGAACTGGTGGATCTCTGGAAGTTACAAGAATACCGACCATTGATTTCATTTTGCTCATTAAAAGAGCTCTGACGAATAAGGAAAATCATTTCTCGAGTTGGTGGTTGCTTGTACCAGTATAAGTAGTAAGTAGTATCACTGGTTTCATACACACAGTCCAAGGTCACATCTTCCTTCTCCACCACGGAAATTTCAGTCTGAGCTTGAGTTACTTTCTGGGCCATGCTGGATCCTGCAGAAAATAGGGGGAAAAAATAGACTGATCCCTTATTTGTAACCCTGGGGGTAAAACGAATTAAGTGGCTTAGGACCTAGTCCTCTGATTCCATTGCCCATTACCCCTTCTTTCTAAGACTCATTAGGCTACAAAGATCTGCCTCTCTCCACATCTTTCCAAGCTAATGGGGCTGAGTCCTGTGCTGGTGGTCATCCTTACCAAGACAGATGGAGGCTATGACTGCCCTCAGCAGGCTAGCAGTCAGCATGTTCATAGCTCTTCCCAAGTGAAATGTTCCGTGCTGGGTCTCAAATCCAGATCTTAATTCTACACTTTGCACTCAAGAGGTACTAGCAAAGTTACTGGGCTGTGTGATGCTTCTGCCTTTTACAGGAAGTACAGTTAGCAGATATATGATGAGTTTGACTGTACCATGTCACATGCTTCCTATGTAAGATGGAAGATTCTAAACCGTCCTAAGTTCCAATTTTGTCTCAATATAACTTACTGGACTAGAAATATACAGTGGTAAAGTTGAATTATGGTTAGTTAATTCATCTTTGATGGAAAATGTGAGACTTACAATTTATTATGAACCATAGTGAATACATTGGATGATGTAGTTATGCACCTTTTGGTCTTACGTACATCTTTTTCTCTAGATAAAATCAAGGTGCAAAAACCACACAGAGTTTTCACTCTCTAGAAGGAAGGCAAAACTTTTGTCTCAATCTTTGTTACTACTTTGCCAGTCACGGAATCCAGCAAAAGTTATATAAGAAATAGTTTATTGTTAATAAATGATTTCACATCATATCTCCTGAGTCACCAAATCTGTTCAGTGTTTGCTACGTCAAGTAACAGCAGAGAAAAATACATACATGCTTATTTGCGTGCATATTTTTTGTGTGTAAACAAAAATAAATTCCAAAAATTCTGCTCACTGCTCAGATACAGCAGTTTCTGTTATAACTCAATATGTGTGTTCCTGAAAATCCCCCTGTTAGTCCAATTCACACACATTAATTATGGTGGAGATTAGAATAGGGAAAAACCCAAAAATATATAATTTGTAACCAGAGCATTACCAAAAACAATAGAAATCCTATTGAAATACCAGCAGAGCTCAGTCTCCACTGGCCTTTGTCCTTTGCATCACAGTCATGAAACTCCTTGCAGTCTTAAATATCAGGACTGATGTTTCATCCCTCTAGATAAGGTTCATGAAAGGTCCTATATTTACATAAGACTGGGTTCATCAAAATTTTGGGTTATAATTCTTCATAAATCTATATTTTTATTTAATTTGTGATTAGGATAAGAAAATAATGGGGGTGACTGCTTGTGGGCACAGAGTTTCTTTGTGAGGTGGTAAAAATGTTCTGGAATTAGATCACAATAATGATTGGATAACTGAATATTCTAAAACCACTGGATTACAGTCTTAAAAGATGCAGTTTAAGGTATGTGAATTATATCCCAATAATGCTATTTTTTTATGATGGAGGTGAAAATACTCATATTAATGATGGCTAAAGCGATTCTAGTGCTGCTGTGGAAAAGCAGACGGGGGGTTAGGGAACCTCCCACTATCAGGACAAACTGAGACTATCATAATATTTCAGTCTTAAAGAAGATGATCTCTATGGAACTCCAAATGCAGATTTACCATGAAGCATATTAGGCTTTGATTTTAGGGCTTCTTTCTACCCCAGTACCTAGAAACTTATATTCATAATTTAATTTTCTTTTTCTTAAAGAGAGCCCCAGAAATCAAAGAAGCATCAGGCCCCTCAAAACCTGTATCTTTATGTGTAAAACTCACAGAATCATGCAGGATACATAAAAGACAAACAAGGCTCACAGAGCTTCAGAATATTAGGAAAAGTTTCTCACGGTGAGCTACATCCCAAGAGTTTCAGTGAGGGGGACACATTTCTGTTTTGTGCTCTTTGATGTAGAGAAATATGAGATTATTTTATCCATTTGGGGGTCCCAGTGGACAAGAGTCCATGTTCATTCTCCTCTTTTTATAAACAGTCTTTCTTGGCTGCTAAATTTGATGCACTTTAAAAGGTTCATGGGCATAAATGCAATGATAAAAATAATACGTTCGTTCCTGCAGTTAAAGTCATGTCCCAAATCCGGAATTTCTCATAACACAGATCCTCAAGTCAGAAATCCAGGTCACGATTTAGTGTTACAATAAACAGCTGCCAGGCCAACAGGAAGATCGGCGCGGAGGGGTGTAAGCAGTGTGGGCACAACATGCCATGGACGCAGCCTTTACTGACTGGGCTGTTCAGAAACCACAGTGCCGATGACACAAGTAAAACCTCTCATCAGGACACTCTCCTCATAGAACTTACTCATGTAGCAGAATTTCTAAGCAACCAGAAGAGATGGAAAAGTCAAGGGAAGAGAGGATCAATGCCGCAGTCGCTGGAGATGGAGTTTCTGCAGGTGGAACTCAGCAAGACAAACAACCTTGGTCTCAATTGTAAACACAAGGGAGTAGATTCAAGGTGGCACATTAGTCCACGAACTGTTTTCCCTTAGAGTTTGTATAAACAGGTTGTGAAGTATTTCACTACAGACCAACTGAACTGTCATGTAGCAAAGTTAATGTCACTTATCAGGAATGTATGCCATCTCGGGGAAGAAGAGACATCTGGGCTGAGGACAGAGGCATTTCTCTGATAACAGAGCTTAGGTTCTGCTTTAGACTGTTCCCCCCCACCAATTCCTCTGTGGGGAGGAATCCAAGATCTCCATGATTCCTTGGCACTGAAGAATCAGAGCTGGAATACTTGGAGGAAGCCTCCAGCATAGAACCCCAGAGAGGGAAAATAATGCTGCCTCCCAAAGCGGCTCACACCCAGGCCCCACCCAGGCCCCGGGGTTTTGTGCTGGGCTCTCGCTGCAGTCCCTCCCACTGTGCCTCTCAGAGCACAGTAGTACACCGCGGAGTCCGACAGCTGCACGGAGGGCTTCTCCAGGTGGAAGGAACTGTCACTCTTGACATGACTGGCCTGAAAACCTCTGCTGTCCATCTCCTGGTTTTCTGAGCTTTTCAGGAAGAGCTGAGGCTCTTTGTTTAGATACTGGACATACCAGAATAGAAAAACTGTATACCTGCTCTCATAAGTGCAGTTTAATGTCAGAGCTGCCCCCTCAGGGAGGGTGACTGGACCTTCTGTCTGGGTCACCGAGTCTCCATAGGTCCTTCCTTAAAAAAAAGGAAAGGCTTCGTTATACTGGCAATAGAAGAGACATAGATTCCAGTTTGGAAGGGGTGAAAGGTCATCCTAAAGCTAAGGAATAGAACATCTCAGAAGTTCTGGGTAAACATTACTCACTGAATATCAACAAGATCACAAGTCCTGAGCAGGAAGCGGACAGCATGGCTGGCTGAGAAGAAGTAGAAGGTTTTGTTGAGAGATACCCCAAACCAAGAGGTATGTTTCTTTATGTGCTTGATCCTTTGGTGGGATCTTCTACAAAATCTTGACTCACGTGTTAACAGGGCAAACTGCTCGACAAGATCAGGCCGCAGGCTGGAACAAAGAGATGTGCGCAGGAACATGAAATTTGTCAAACCACAAGCTGAAGGGAGCAGCGCCCTCTTGCGGCTCTTCTATGTCGCTGAAGCCTGTGCTGCGTCTCGGAATGATGCTCATTTTCACCCAGGAGTGCGGCTTAACCTGCAGACATAGAGGGAAAACGGTGTCCAAGGGGAAGGGTGGGACTCGAGGAAGGCGGACCAAACATTCTGCTGACTTCGCCGTGTGGGTGATGGGTGATTTCTGTTACCTTCGTTAAGACATAGAGCAATATGACTCCCTTAAATCTCCCCAACCCCAGCATCTAATGTGTTCACACCAAGTGGTAATTTAGTTTTAGGCATCTTAGGATATCCTGAGAATATAAAAATATATATATTGTGAGATTTCTTCTCGGCATATTCCCCACTGGTCCCTCGAAACCAGGGGGTGAGCACGTCTGCTTAGAATGCCCTTCCCTCTCTCCACTCCCCTTCACTTGGACGACTCCTGTTCATTCTTTGAAAACCAGTGCATCACCTCCATGTGAAAACAGTCTCCCATTTCCCGAGCTGAGTTAGTGCTCTCCGTTTTTCCCACCATACTTTCTGTCCTTACCACACCATATCAGAGTCATTTCTGTCCCGTTTCTCAAGCCGCACTTGGTGCTCCTGAGATCAGAAATTGAATCGGAATTGAATCAGCAACCCTTTTTCCAGGCCTTTAGCTCATATGAAATGCTAAAAAAAAAAAAAAAGAAAACCTTTAAAATTGGTGGGAAAAAAACGAATGAATGGCTGTGTCTGGTGGACAAAATTATCTTTGATGAAGGACAGTCTGCGGGAAGATGCGTCTTAGGTCCCTGGTGTGACTGGCTCCATTTAGGAGGAGATCCAGGACCTGCTAGCAGGTACATTCAGTGTTTTACAAAATCAAGTAAGGTGCAGGTCTTCTTATAAGGGGCCACTGTCTTACTGACTATTTTTTAATATTATGGTGCTTTCGTATTCCCAACAATAAAATTTAGTATCAACTTTTTAAGCTCATAGGTTTTATACAATTATCAAATAAGACAAAAAAATGCAAACAAAATGTAAAATCAATAAAATTCTAATTAAAACATTATTGTGAGAATTGATTTTTCACTGAAACTAAAGGGTTAATATAGGCTTATTAAAATAAAGCTATGGATGTGTATAGTTGAATAACTGACTTGATTAAAGTTATTTGAAGCTTGATGTACTATTGTCTGAGTTACTGTGAGTAGTGATAACAAGGATTTTTTTCTTCACTTTTCCTATTCAGAAATACTCATGTTTGTCACCGTTATACAATTTTATTATTTAATGAAGCACCCAAGAATTCAGCACTGAAAAAAAATATGTTTTGTATTTACTGCTACTTTTATGTCTATTGAATTACATATTGATACATACAAACAGTGAATATTTGCAATACATCCTCTTTCATTGCAGGTTCTTGGGAGCGTGGCCTACCTATAGTACTATGTGCCATATCTGTAGCACTATGTGCTGTGTGCTATATCATAACCAAAATTTTCTAAAAACTTTTCACCATTTAAGCAGCTGCAATGTCTTCATTTGTAAACTATAATTATCCCTCTTGCCCTTAATTTGGTAAAAATGACATAAATCATCAAAATCAAGGGGGCTATTCTATTAGTTATCTAGATAATTAGAAATATACCTTTTTTATTTTATTTTGTCCTAATCACACAGAAAATTGCAAATCTAAAAATTCTCATTGAATTTCTATACCTCAGGGATTAGTGAACTTTTCTCTATAAAAGGGCAAATAATATATATTTTAGGCTTTGAAATCATACACTCTCTTTTGCAAGTACTAAACTCTGCTGTTATAGCAAGGAAGCCATCATAAGCAGAGTGTAAACAGATGCGCGTGGCTATTTTGCAATAAAACTTTACAAAAACAGGTGGCAGCTTGTTTTGAATGCTGGGCCATAGTTTTCTGACCCCGATTATACACCAACAATTTGTTCACACAATTCCAAATATCCATGGATTGCAGTTTGAAAAACTCAGCTCTATTTTCTTTCACTACAACATTATTATAACTCTTTGATGAGGCTTAAAATAAAGGTGGTATATTAAATAAATTAATAGAAAGGAAGAAGAGGGAAATTGATTATCTTAGTGCTTACGATGCCTTGGTATGATGGATTCAAGGCTGAGCACCACAGATAATGGTCCCTGCCCTTAAGGAGCACATAGAGTAATAATAGAGGCAGTTATTAATTAAATAAAGAAATAAGAGGAGAAAACGCACACTTAAGGCAGAGGTCCACGATTCTAAGAGAGCATATTGAGCTTTCTTCTGTTACTGACTCTTGAGCACATGCACAAGAAGAAGTAGGAATTCACTGGGTTTTACTGTCAACAGAAGAAAAAAGATTTTTTTTTTTTTTAAAGAAAGAGAAAGGGGAAGAGAGAACAGGAGTCTTTCTCTATTGCCCAGGCTGGAATGCAATCTAAAAATAGGTATTAAAACCCTCTTTTATGCCGATAGTTGTGTTTAACAGTAGAGACAGGAAGGAATAAGGGAAGAAAATAACAAATAGCCAACCAATATTTCATTTAAGTCTGTGAAACGCTATGCAAATGCTGAAGAGTGATTTACTTCCAATTATGTGGTCACTTTCAAAATAGGTGTAATATGATACTGAGAAAGAAATTTTTTAAAGAGTAAGAAAGTATCCCAAAATCACTTTGAGGGGGTTATATAAAACGAACAAAGTGCTTTCAAGAAACGTAGATAGGACCAGTATTGAAGAAAAAAATAAATTAGGACCATATTGTGGAAAGAGACTGGAGAGGCCTTAAAACCCTAAATTATGCAGGGTTTTGTAAATCACATGAAGCCATTTTTTTCTACTCTAAGAACAAATGAGGACCCAGGTGGTTGACATGGTCAAATTTGCACTCTAAAAGAGTCACCCTCACCATGTACAAAGGACTATACTGAGAAGTGATGGGGTCTGTCAAGTGTGCTGGGGGCAGAGGAGCAAGGGATTAGGGAGGATTTTAAATTAGGGTATGGAGGTCAATTAGGCTATAGAGGTTGTGATGTCTTCTGCAAAACCTAATAGGTGGTACACACAATAGAACTTGGAAATACATTGGCTATGGTCATTCAAAAATAACTATGAACCAAAAAATATTGTATGAGTTCTAATATGCCCTAAACTGAGGGTCTGGCAGAAACTTCTGATTGTCTGTAATATGTTCATTGTTGCCTATTTTTTTACTAATAGAACCCCCATTTGATGTAAATGGAAACATACTTAGATAATAATCCTGATATCCTGCCTCCCTTGCAGATGGGAGGAGGTGGGAACGTGGAATAACACTAGTAAATGAGTGTAAGGAGAAGACATTGGACAGAGCTTCTGGAAAAGACTGACTCAGCCAGCAAGTACCTGTGCCCTTGACTTTCTCCTTCTTTCAGTCTAGAAGATGTATAAAGTGGAAGAATCTCTGGCAGCCTCTTGAAAGTATAAATGAAAGAGTGACACATTAAGAGTGAAAAACAGTAAGCTAGAAATACCCTTGTTCCTTTGTAACATGATGAAGCTACTTCACCAGCCCTGCATATTACAAAGCTCCTTTGTATGGGGGGAAAAAAAACACCTCAATCTTGTTAAAAACATTACTGTTTGGGTTTTTAAAATGTGAATCTGAGCCAATCTCTTACATATACTGTATTGAAGACATTCATTAAAATTGAAATTCATGACTTTATCAGAGACTGATTGAGTGAGCCAGAATTGAGCCTAATAGTCCAGATCTTCTAAGATGCTCTAGTGATTCTGGTATAGCTGATATTGATGGATCAAGGTCTGACTTGTGGGAACCACTGTCCTATACAACCTTTCCCTGTGCTCCCCCACTTTTCTCACCAAAGCATGCTCCTAAATGCAAATGCTCTAATTTTCTCTACAAACACACTTTCGGTAGTATCAAAGCTGTGTCAAGAATAAACTAGAGTCAGCATTTATTTCTCAGTAGAAGCAAGAATAAATGGCTGAAAAACTGTTATGTATTTGATACTAGAAATGCCTGCTTTCAAAACACAGCATTTTAGGACCTGGCAGTGGTGAACACCTACCTTTCCTTTGGATGGAAAAAAGTTATTACTTTCTTATAAACTCCCATTTTACCTAATAGAGACATTGAAGCTTGGGAATCATACAACTAATAAATGGTGAAATCAGA